ATAAATATAAATATAAATATAAATATATATATATGAATATAAATATAAATATAAATATAATATATATATATATATATATATAAATATATCGTACCTACGCCTCTACATATACTATATAGTCCTAAGTTCACAATGCCACCGTACTACTAAAACAAGACTTTTAATGCAGCGCGAGCACATTGGAATTGTTACCACATCCTTACACTGGCATGGATCACTGGCATCAACACATGCCCTTAGTTCATACATCCTTTGCCCTGGTTTACCACACCTGCACATGCACGCATACTTGACATTCTTATCATACTCGCCTTTTGCCCTTATTTACCACACACCCACACATGTACCACTACCTGTCATTCTCATCACACACATTCATTGCCCTGGTTTACCCCACACATCCATTGCCCTGGTTTACCCCACACATTCATTGCCCTGGTTTACCCCACACATTCATTGCCCTGGTTTACCCCACACATCAATTGCCCTGGTTTACCCCACACATCCATTGCCCTGGTTTACCCCACACATTCATTGCCCTGGTTTACCCCACACATTCAGTGCCCTGGTTTACCCCACAACACCCCATGCACGCATACTTGTCTGTATCGCGGTCTCGTTGCCGTCCGCGCCCTCTCCCTCTCCCACGGCCCTTATTTGGTGAATGCGATGTCGCAAACTGATTGAGCGGGAGCCTGACTCTCCTGTAGTGTACATGCAGTTGGGACATTAGCCACATCGCTGACACAATGCCGAGTCTGTGTTGAGCATGCAACGGTGTGTTACACATATACAGTACTGTCCCTATCATGTATTTAGTATGTACAAACATATACCGAACTGTGCCTCTCCTGTAGCACACATGCAGTGGTGTATCACACATATATATAGTACTGTCCCTGTCATGTATTTAGTATGTACAAGCATATATCGAACTGTGCCTCTCCTGTGGTGCACACGCAGTGGTCTGCGACACATATATATAGTACTGGTCCTCTCCTGTATGGAATATGCAGTGCTGCTTCCTATACGTGCATAGGCACACAGGTGATATGTATACCTTTATATACAATGTTCAATTGTACTGAAGCATGAATACAAGGGTGCCTCCGCAACCCGTGCCGTGTGAGTGTGTGGCAGTGAATCAATACGGTGACACTCAGGCAGCTCTATGTACAGTGAATCTGGGGTCATTGACGTATAGTTTTGAATATAAACCATTTCTTGTTTGCACAAAACCCGTTCTCGTCTGGACACACGTGGTAGTGCAGTATTCTAAATATAGAAGAAGCCATTTATAGCTAGCAATAGCACGGCCGCGTGAAATGTATGGGCTTAAGCCATTGTTGGCCCAGCATGTATATCGTTGTTCTAAAAATAAAAGTGCTATTAATAGACCAAAGAAAATCTGCTAGATTTTCTAGTTTGATCTGATGCCGTTCTTGATTGGGATTATATAGTAGCGTTCTAAACATAGAATCTTCTGGTGCAGTTATATTTATAAATCACACTATTACCTACCCACTTTTCTTATTTGGGTTAAGCAGTTCTTGGTTGGGCTCATCTGGTAGTGTTTTAAACATCGAATGTTTTAGTTTAGTTCTATCTATACACCACAACATCACCTACCCGCTTTTTTCGCCTGGTCTTAAGCCGTTCTTGGCTTGGCTCATCTTATATACCTCCAACAATACAATGTACTAGTTCTACTTATAGATCACAACATCATCTACCCGCTTTTCTCGTGTGGACTTAAGCCGTTGTTGGCTTGGCTGATCTTGTATATCTCTAAATACAGAATGATCTAGTTCTATTTATAGATCACAACATTACCTACCCGCTCTTCTTATGTGGACATGAGCCGTTGTTGGCTTGGCTGATCTTGTATACCTCTAAATACCTAATGTTCTAGTTCTATTTATAGATCAAAACATTACCTACCCGCTCTTCTTGTGTGGGCTTAGGCCGTTCTTGGCTTGGCTCATCTGGTAGTGCTCTGTGCGCCCATCCAGTGTGTTGTATGGTACCGCTGAGGAGGTGTGCGGCGACGGTGACACTTCAGCTGTGTAGTACGGTGCCATGTTGATGATAGCTGGGTCTATAGGCGCCTGTGTGGTGGACGGGGCATTCGCAAGTAAGCGAGGAGATATATACCTATATACCTTCCCATACGCAACTATACTGTATGGATATCACACTCATACGCCATTATACTACGCACCACAATCATACGCATTTATACAGTATGTGCATCACCCGAGTGCGATTGCGTGTGTATCTAGCACGCTCTCATGCTATGTAGCTAAGTGAGTACAATCATACGCATTTATACTGCATGTGCATCGCCCGAGTGCGATTGTGTGTGTATCTAGCACGCTCTCATGCTATGTAGCTAAGTGAGTACAATCATACGCATTTATACTGTATGCGCATTATCCGAGTGCGATTGTATGTGTATCTAGCACGCTCTCATGCTACGTAGCTGGGTGAGTACAATCATACGCATTTATACTGTATGTGCATCATCCGAGTGCGATTGTGTGTGTATCTAGCACGCTCTCATGCTACGTAGCTAGATGAGTACAATCATACGCATTTATACTGCATGTACGTCACCCGAGTGCGATTGTGTGTGTATCTAGCACGCTCTCATGCTACGTAGCAAGGTGAGTTTTGGGGGTCTAAGCCGTGGTGCACACGCATCACATGTGTTTCCAAACAAGCTTGCAGGGCGAAATTGCCCTAGAAGAACACCTTACACCGTACATACATGCTGTTGCTGGTGGTGTGCCTAAAGAACATCCCACACCGTACATACATGCTGTTGCTGGTGGTATGTTTTAAGAACACCCTACACCGTACATACATGCTGTTGCTGGTGGTGTGCCTGAAGAACATCCCACACCGTACATACATGCTGTTGCTGGTGGTGTGCCTGAAGAACATCCCACACCGTACATACATGCTGTTGCTTGGTGGTGTGCTTGAAGAACACCCCACACCGTACATACATGCTGTTGCTGGTGGTGTGGTGACTGAGATTCCCGTACTGACGATTGTAGCTGCGTATAAACCCCTGGAGCAGTTTGCGGTAAGTTCTTTGGTATGCTCTGCGGTTGCAGTTGCGGTTGTGGTTGGTTGCCGGTGGGGAATGGATTTGCCTGCGGCGGTGGTACTGGAGTGACCTGGCTGTGTTGGGTGTGTGGCATTGGCTGCTCATGCAGATAGCACAGGCCGGCACAAGAGAGAGCATTCGGAAACAAGGAGCTTGTGAATGGGATGTGTAACAATACATGCGTATGTAGAGAGGTGCGTGTGAATGGGATGTGTAACAATATATGCGTATGTGAAGAGGGGTGAGCAGAAGTGGAGCGTGTGAGTTGTGTATTACGTGTAGTGTGATTGTAGTAAATACATTACTACATTAACTGTATGCAAGAATAAATATATATGTCAGTATATATATATATATATATATATATATATATAAGTAAGTATATATATATATATATATAGAGT